GTTTTGCTCCTCAGCATGGCTTCATAAAAACACTGCAGGATTTCTCAAACATGATGAATGAGTCAGAGCAAGGCTTTGATGTTTTTTATGAGAGTATAACATTATAACATGATATAAAACTCAAAAAAAGTTGATTTTACATGATATTGCCCCTTTAACAATCTCCATAACTTTTCAGTGCAAACCAACACATTATGTAAGTATGTGCTATAACTTTATATTTAAAAGTATGCAGCAGTGCAGATACAATAATAATAAGAGTAAGATTATTATAAAAATTAAAACCTGATCATAATAAAGAGTTATTCAGTAACTCCTGCTGCTGATTTTAGCAGCTTGAATCAGAGCTGCTGAGTTTTTTAGACAGATAATCTCTAAAAAAAACAAAGGTCCTCTGGCTCCTCCTGGTGGTCAAATCTTTTCATAAGTTGTCTAAAATGTTACAGTGTGACAGGGCCTTTACTTTAGAGAACTCAAGATGATCTCACAGCTCATTCTTCCTTCACTTGTGACAAAACCCCCAGAGATACTTCACCTCACCCCCAGCTAGACTATTGGACCGGGGCTCAAACATGTCATTAAACTGACTCAAATGAAAACAGCTTTACTGACCTTTGCTGCTGAAGCGAAACAGGCTAACAAACGAGCTGTAAGCAGAGCGCAGTGGTGGCACTTCTTCCTCCGGAGTCAGGGGTTTGAAGTGGGTCAGATGTGAGGGGCTGGAGGGTGAGATGGTAGGTGGGTCTGTGTTCCACTCCACTGAAGATGAGGAGGASGACTTGTCATCAGCAGCCATGTCACTGCTACTACAACAACACAAAGACAGAACTGTGACGGCTTCAAACACGTCAAACACATCCTAGAACTCAACAATGCTGAGTGATTTTAWTAAGCGTGATTATGAAGTCATTGTTCAGCTAAATAAATGAATGAATGGTTATTCTCATTATACAGCTACATTTAAAGTGGACTTTTTCACTTTTAAATCAGTCAGATGAGACCTTTATAAAGTGGAACAACAATTCTTTGGTCTGAATTCCTTATTCTAACCTTACAGCCCTGCTTTTCAAAGCAGTTGGTTTTGATACTGGTCCTTTACTTCAAACCAGACCAGTCCACTTCCTATTGAGAGAGGGGACTGACCTTTTCTAATGGTGCAGAAACATGTTATTTACAATTTAACTGAAAAATATTAACAGAAGACTTGTCCATCCAGCTTTACATGCTGGAGCCAGAGTCTGACCCAGAACCAGAGTCTGACCCAGAACCAGAGTCCGACCCAGAACCAGAGTCTGACCCAGAACCAGAGTCTGACCCAGAACCAGAGTCCGACCCAGAACCAGAGTCCGACCCAGAGCCACAGAATTAAGACAAGGAAGTTGTAGTTGGGAAGTCCAGACCTTATTTGGCAATTGTGTTGCAGATAATTTGACTAAATAGTTCAGAAAACATCATAGAAAGCAGAGAAAACTGAATAGGCTAAAAATTATGACCCAAACACAATATTTAGATATCTTTGCAGTAGAGCTGGGCGGTATAACGTTTTGTACCGAAAACCGTTTTTTTATTTTTATGATATGAATTTTTTGAATAACGGACATTCTGGTTTAAATAGCGGAACGTTTCGTCGCGGCCGCCAGTGAACTGTTGTTTCCCGGGGGATATTTTTCCTCGCAGCACCGCTATGTGCGTTAGCATGCTAATGTTTGGAGCAGCTAGTTGCAGCTAACGTTAAAAAAAGCATCCCGTTTTTGCCGTCGCTGAATGTAGTAAACACCTCTTCAGTGACGTGCACAGTTAGATTTAACATGGTTAGTTA